TCCGTTATTCTAATGTTGATTCCCTCCAGAGTGTTTTTGATCTCATTTATCGCATTATTCATTGTTAATTGACTCTTTTTTATTTCTTCTAGGTCATTTTTAAACATTTGTTGCATCTTCTCAATCCTTGTCTCCAGGCTATTCATGTGTAACTCCATTTTGTTTTCAAGATTTTGGATAATTTTTATTATCATTATTCTAAATTTTTTTTCAGGTAGATTCCCTATCTCCTCCTCTTTTGTTTGGTTTGGTGGGCATTTTTCATGTTCCTTTACCTGTTGAGTATTTCTCTGCCTTTTCATCTTATTTAGATTGCTGTGTTTGGGGTGGCCTTTCTGTATTCTGGTATTTTGTGGTTCCTCTTTATTGTGGAGGCTCCTCCCAGTGGGTGGGGTTGGATGATTGGCTTGTCAAGGTTTCCTGGTTAGGGAAGCTTGAGTCAGTGTTCTGGTGGGTGGAGCTGGATTTATTCTCTCTGGAGTGCAATGGAGTGTCCAGTAGTGAGTTTTGAGATGTCTGTGGGTTTGGTGTGACTTTGGGCAGCCTGTATATTGACACTCAGGGCTATGTTCCTGCGTTGGTGGAGAATCTACATGATATGTCTTGCTCTGGAACTTATTGGCTTTTGGGTGGTGGTTTGTTTCAGTGTAGGTATGGAGGTTTTTGGATGACTTCTTATTAATTAATGTTCCCTGGAGTCAGGAGTTCTCTGGTATTCTCAGGTTTTGGGCTTAAGCCCCTGCCTCTTGTTTTCAGTCTTATTCTTCCAGTAGCCTCAAGATTTCTCCATCCATACAGCACTGATAATAAAACTTCTAGGTTAATGGTGACAAGATTCTCCACATGAGGGGTACCTAGAGAGGTTCACAGAGTTACATAAAGAAGAGGAGAGGGAGGAAGGAGATAGAAGTGAGCAGGAGGAGAAAAAGGGGGAATCAAGAGGAGAGAGACAGATCTAGGCCATTCTCTGTTCCCTAAGTGTTCTCCGCAGCCCAGAACACCCACAGAGTCACAGATTTGGGTTGAGAAGAGAAGGGGGAGGGAGGAAATAGAGGTGACTTGGGGGAGAAAAAGGAGAGTCAAAAGGGGAAGAGGGTAATCAAGCCAGTAATCACACTCCTGAGTAAAAATGGGTACTGAAGGTTGGATTCTTAAATCTCCAAAACTGATATCAAATACTAAAAAACAAAGATTAAAAATCTAGAGTAGAGGTTAGACTGTTAAAAATGCAATATAAAAAAAAAACAGAAAAAGTACAAGAAATATATATGAAGTTCGCTTTAAAAATGGGATCCTTTTTTTTTTGTTGCAAGGTATTAGTGGGTTATAAAAATGAAAATTAAAGGAGTAATAGAGGACTTAAAAAAAGAAGAAAAAAATTTTAATAAAAAAATAATAGTAGTAAAAATATATCTAGGAATTTCTCTGGAGCTCTTGTGGGCAGTGTGGGTTCAGTTCAGTTTCAGATAGCTCCTTGTTCCAGCTTATACTTCTCAATATCTATAGGCCCCTTCCAGTGTTCTCGGTGTTAACTACGGGGGTTTTATTCTGCTGCACCTGTCACCTCTGAAGCGGTTCCCTTTGTTTATTTGGCTTCTGGTTGCAGGTCTCTTCGGTGTCTAATTTCCGCCCTGACACAAGGGGGCGGACGTGGTCTCTTGTTTAGGTTCGCTGGTTCAGTCGTGCTGCGGGGAGGGAGGGGCGCTGCAGACAAATGTCACTGGCATGTGTGGGGAGCGCTCGCAGTGTTCTGGCCACACTGGGTTTGCCCCCGCTCACGGCGTGTGTGCTTTCCCCGTCTACACTGCTCAGGCTCCAGGCTGCTCTACAGGGAGCGGGCCCAGCGTTATGTGCACTTCCCAGGCCCAAGCCGCTCAGGTTCAGGTTCTGGGGTACTCCAGAAAGACGCAGACTTGGTTGGGCCTGCGTTTTGTGCCATTTCCCGGTCCGAGCAGCTCAGGCAACTGGGTGCTTGATGAGCGCCTTCTCTTCAGGTGCAGCGCGGCTTCTCCCCTCCCTGTCCCCGCCTCAGTTTCCCCTCGCTCCCGGTTTGGTGCCCCTTGTGTCTCTTCTGGGGAGCTGATCTCTGGAAGCAACCCTCCCGGGGGATGAAAACCATCCAGAATCTCAGGAAGTCTTTGGTTAGAAACTGGAAGCCTGTTTGCAGTTTGGTAGGGGATGCCCTCTCTGGGGCCGAGTTTGCCCCTTTCCGGCTCTGGCTGGCGCCCGCCTCCCCTTGCCTCCAGCAGGGGATGGGCGGGTCCACAGCCGGCTAGCTCTTCTCTGGTATTGCTCAGTCCTTTGTTCTGCAAATGGGCCGGCTTTGCCTTGCTGCTGCTGCTAAGACACTTCAGTCGTGTCCGACTTGTGTGACCCCATAGACGACAGCCCACCAGGCTCCCCCGTCCCTGGGATTCTCCAGGCAAGAACACTGGAGTGGGTTGCCATTTCCTTCTCCAATGTGTGAAAGTGAGAAGTGAAAGTGAAGTCGCTCAGTCACGTCCGACTCTTAGCGACCCCATGGACTGCAGCCTACCAGGCTCCTCCATCCATGGGATTTTCCAGGCAAGAGTACTGGAGTGGGGTGCCATTGCCTTCTCTTGCCTTAGGTTAGGGCTTTTTGCAGGTTAATTCTTTCTCTCTCTGTCTTGCTATCCCAGTTTAAGTTGCTATCTCACGTTAGCTCCCTCAGATTGCCCTCAGGGCATTCAGGCCTGGTCCTTACCCTAAGTAATGCTGCTGGTTCCTCTCCGTTCAGCCCCTAGTTGCTGGTGGCAGATGAGAGCGTCTGGGGTACTTTTATGCTGGGAGTTGCTTTTAAGCATGTAATCTGTGGGTTTTATTTATTTATTTTTCCTCCAGGTTAGGTGGCCCTCCGAGATTCGAAAACTTCCCCCAGGTCTACCGGTGAGAGGGTTTCCTGGTGTTTGGAAGCTTCCTCTGTTAAGACTCCCTTCCCAGGACGGATATCCATCGCTAACTCTTTTGTCTCTCTTTTTATCTTTTATATTTTGTCCTACCTCCTTTCGAAGACAATGGGCTGCTTTCCTGGGTGCCTGATGTCCTCTGCCAGCGTTCAGAAGTTGTTTTGCGGAGTTTGCTCAGCGTTCAAATATTCTTTCGATGAATTTGTGGGGGAGAAAGTGGTCTCCCCGTCCTATTCCTCCACCATCTTAACTCCCACCTGGTCTCTGTATTTTAAGGCCAACAGACTTGGAGCTTTAATTATATTTGCAAAATCTTTTCAGAGCAATACTTTGAAGAGTATTTAACTAACCAAGGAATGGGAATCTTAAGGGGCCATTTTCGAATTCTGCTTATATCAACCTCTACATATATACATTGGCCTTAGAGTTGTTATTTAGTTATAATGTGTTCTGGTAAAGATTTTTTGTAAAAAATCAGGAACTTGACCCAATATTTTCCCACTTACCTTTTATGCTTTCTATTTCTTCTTTTTCAAACTATCATTAGAAATATCACTTCCTTCCCTTAAATTTTCATTGGATTCTGTGTTATTTTTTCACCATTTCTCTATGTGTCAAACAGGAGGTGGAGATTACCCTGTCAGTACAGTCTGCCTAATTGTTTAGAAGTCAGTGAGGGTTTTCAATCACCACCTGCAGTAATTTGTTTACCAGTGGGTAACACATCAGGGTAGAACCTAGAGCCCAGAATCAGGTATTCAGAATCAAGCATATATTCTGTACTAAGTGACAAATCAATTTTCTTGCTCTTCTTTCTATTTGGGAATTTGAAATCTATGTTCTTTATGGACATGGTATATGGATAAAAAACAATGCTATTATTTGCAGACTGTAACTTAGTAATCTTTTGAAATAATTCATTAGCGGTGATTAGTAGTATAAAAGAATGTAGGTTACAAAATGGCCTGACATTCATTTGTTATGGAGGCACACTTTTTTTAAAGTATTAACTTTGAAGCATTGTTTTTCACTTGCATTTAGGTCCATATCAGAAAGTAGCAGTCAATCAGATACTGTCAGGTAAGTGAATTAGAAAGGATTTCTTAAGATAAGATGAACGAATTGATATTCAACAAGTAATTGCTAAGTATTAATTGCACAGCAACAATTGATAAGGTATACTACACATATAACTTCTAAAAGAGATGGTTGGTTCTCTTTCCCCTTAATATTTTTAGTAGTGAACAAAGAACCTGCCTGCCAATGCAAGAGACATAAGAGACACAGGTTTAATCCCTGGGTCAGGAAGACCCCCTGGAGAAGAGCATGGCAATCCACTACAGTATTATTGCCTGGAGAATTCCTTGGACAAAGGAGCCTGGGAGACTACAGTCCATAGGCTTGCAGAGTCGGACACAACTGAAGTGACTTAGCACAGCACACACACACACAAGTTTCTTTTAGTATTTTCTAACCTAGTAACTAGTGAGTGTTTGCCTAAATAAATAAATGCTTTCTTCAGTTTTTTAATGTATTTTGGGAGTTTATTCTGGGGAAACAAAGGAATAAATGACTGGTGAAAGGTTTATGGTGCTAACTCATAAATGGAGAAGTTCAATTCTTTATTTGGAGACTGTAGAAATCCAATATGTTTTCTCTTGAACAACTGAATGAGTGCTTACCCTGGTCACTTGAGAAAAATTTGCGGAAGAAAAAGGTTGTAAAGGAAATAATAATTCTGTGTGTTACATAGCCTTTTAGAATTACAAAGTAGTTTTTTAAAAACTTTTTTATTCTGTATTGGGGTATAACTAATTAACCAAAAATTAATTGTGACAGTTTCAAGTGAACAGCAAAGGGACTCAGCCATACATACAATTACAAAGTAGTTTTAATTAAGTCTCCCTCCATTTCCTGAAAGGTGGATATGTCTGTGTAATAATACAATAATTGTTTAGTTTTCCACATCCAACAGTTTGGGATGGTGCTAGTCAACATGTGTGTGTGTGTTGTGTGTGTGTGTGTGTGTGTGCATCCTCAGTTGCTTCAGTGGGGTCCAACTCTTTACAACCCTGTGGACATAGCCTGCCAGGCTCCTCTGTCCATGGGACACTCCAGGAAGAATACTGGAGTGCGCTCCTGTGCCCTCGTGATTCCACCTAGCTTCCTCCAAAGTATACTGCTGTCCCAGACACACCCAAACATACAGAGTAGGATGTCTAGGCTGTGCATCAGGTCCATTTAATTTCACTTATTCTGAATAGATCTTCCTCTTCCATTATAATGCCTTCTTTTCTCATCCTTTCTCTCTCTTTCATTATTATGATCTTTCCCTTTCAGTGACACTTATGGAGTCATGAGTTACTCTCACTAAGCTAAAAAGAAAAATTGATTTTCATTAGTATGTCCTCTCAGTGTCAGGGAGTTATCATGTGATCCTTAAACATAGTTACCTTTTCCTCACATTGGATGTATGTCTTATTACACTGCTATCATAAAGGATAAAGCCCATATTTATCTTGCTCCACACTGCATAGCCAGCATGTAGCAAGAGTTCTTGGTTTATGGTAAGTGCTCAATAAACATTTGTTGAATAAAGTAATTAATTAATTAATCTTTTCCACAGACATGCACACAGGCGGCCAGACAAAAAAAATCGCAAACATAAAAGTATAAAGACAAATACACAGACACACACACATATGTATGTATAATGTTTTAACTGCCCCATTTCTCTCTCTCATATTATCTCTCATCCTGAAACCTTGTCAACATAATTCATCTCTTCTAGGATATTAATTTACCTACACTCAGTGAGGGATGATAGCATAACCCAATGGAATATATACCTTTCAACTAGAGTAGTTCGGGTATAAAATGCTTGATTGTCATTCTTAAGGTAGGCATGTTTCTTCGTATTAACTTTTAGACATTTTTATTTTTATTTAGATCAAAGTCAGAAAGTAGTGCCCAAACAAATCGCAGCAGGTAAGTGACTTAGGAAATGTTTCTTATAAGTAAGTTGAAAATGAGCAAATAATTGCTTAATATTTTTGAGCAGCTACAATTGATAAAGTACTGCAGTAAAAACAAATTATTAATATTTTCCATTCTGGGAATGAGTATTAATGAACTTAGTCTTTAGTTTACTAAATTTTTATTGGTTGCCTACTGTTTTGATACATGGGGGAAAACTAGTTAAGTCTAATGAGAGGCAAGATATTTATAATTATTTTGTGAATTAACTCATAATCAGAGCAATTTTTGAACATGTTTTATGATGAAATACACAAAGAGAAATATTTCTTTTTTTTAAGATCACATTTATATCCACAAACTCAATATGAGCAACTGAGTAAATTATTACTGCTCTTAAAAGGAGTTTATCTAAGAGACATTTATTATAAACAAACTGAAATTCTACATGTTCCATACTCCCCACCCCAATCCAACAGCCCACAATTGTGTTAATACAGAATTCTCGTGAGTTTTCAGTTTCCTATGTGGCCTTGTGATCCTTCCAAAGTCATCAAATATTTACTGATCTGCTAATCTTCTTTTCTCCCTTATAGAGCTTTCATTTACTTGTACTGCCTGGCATTTCCCTTAAAGTGTCTTCTTTTAGTTACATTCAATTCACTGATATTCCAAAATCTACTTTATACCCACAGGTTGTTTTCAGGCTGCACCACTATATTAGATAGTTTCTATCCTCCCTGATGAAGTCACTCCCTCCATTCAGGAAGCTGTTGACGTTTCTATTTCCTTTATTTTGTTCTTTTTTTAAAAAAAATGTCTCCTAACATAGTTACTCTTTTATAGACATTGCTTCCTCCAAACTAAGTGTGAAGAGAAAGGCAGATTTTCTTTATTGCCTCTACTCTCACCATTACCAAGGGATTTGTAATATAGTGCTCAAACACTAATACTTCCCAACTGCTGCTCCCCTAGTGCATTACTTTGCCAATAAGCTCTGAAATTGCTTGACTGTAATGCCATGTATACTTTGCTAACCAACTTGTGGTTAGCACCTAGCAGAGTAAATGCTCACTAAATGCTTGCATAGTGGATGAATATCACATACATCTTGAACTTCACATACACACATGATTGATGTTATAACTACTCCAACTGTCCCCTCACATTATCTCTCATTATGGAATATGTCATTTGCATAGTCATCTTCTTCTGGAAGTGTTATTCAAGACTGAGGAATAATCACCATTCTAGGACAATATATATCACACTTGAAGTGTGTAGTCTGGAGTGTTAACCCATTAGTATAATTTCAGTTCAGTTGCTCAGTCGTGTCTGGCTCTTTTTTTTTTTATTAGTTGGAGGCTAATTACTTTACAATATTGTAGTGGTTTTTGTCATACATTGACAAGAATCAGCCATGGTTTTACATGTATTCCCCATCCCGATCCCCCCTCCCACCTCCCTCTCCGCCCAATCCCTCTGGGTCTTCCCAGTGCACCAGGTCCGAGCACTTGTCTCATGCACCCAACCTGGGCTGGTGATCTGTTTCACCATAGATAATATACATGTTTCGATGCTGTTCTCTTGAAACATCCCACCCTCGCCTTCTCCCACAGAGTCCAAAAGTCTGTTCTATACATCTGTGTCTCTTTTTCTGTTTTGCATATAGGGTTATCGTTACCATCTTTCTAAATTCCAT